ATTTCTTTCTAATGTGCAGGGCAATATAGCTAGGTGGCTGAAGAAACACGGCGATAAAGTTTCTCCTGGTGAAGTACTCTGTGAAGTTGAAACTGTAAGGCTCTTGTAATACTATCTTTCCAATTCTTACACTTGATGAAATCTCTTGTTTTTCTTGTTCACATTGAAAATTTGATTCTCTCTTATTTTGATTTATATCTGAAGGATAAAGCTACGGTTGAGATGGAATGCATGGAAGAAGGCTATCTTGCCAAGATAATAAAGGGGGACGGATCCAAAGAGATCAAAGTTGGTGAGGTAATGAATTGTTGTGTATGCAAAGTCTAGATGCTTATCAATGTATTTTTTTTTTCTCCCCTTCTGGTTCTCTTTTTTCTGTTAATTCTCTTCAAAGTTGCATGTAAAGATCTTATGGTTGTTTGTGACACACCCTTTCTTTACCCTGTCATCTCCTCATATCAACAAAAGATAGAATGGCACTCTATTTGAAGACTTGTAATTATGTGTTAATGCCAATTTTATTTTATTTCTAGGTCATTGCTATTACAGTTGAAGAAGAGGAAGACATCTCAAAGTTTAAAGATTATAGTCCTGCATCTGATGCTGGTTCTGCTGCTGTAAAAGGGCCTTCAACTCCTACCTCACCCAAGCAGGAAGCAGTGGAGGAACCAGTCAGTGCATCAGAGCCAAAAGTTTCCGAGCCAAAAGTTTCCAAGCCCAGCACTGCTCCTGCCGAAGATCGTATCTTTGCCAGTCCTCTTGCTAGGAAGGTGGCTGAAGAGCACAATGTTAGTCTATGAAGTGACACAACTGACTTTGAGTGCAATGGCATGTCACCTGTTAGCAATGCGAGTCATGATAACTAACTGGTGTTTGATTTGCTTTTCCCAAAATTAGATACCTCTTTCAAGCATCAAAGGAACAGGTCCTGATGGACGCATTATAAAGGCTGACATTGAAGATTACCTAGGTATCACATTCAGACTTTCACTCTTTAATTATTGATATAAGTACCTCAATTTACTTTTTATCTGGTTTCTGTTCTTTTTTTCTTTTTTTTTTCGGAAAAAAAAAAAACGCTGCTCAATTTTAATTTGAATGCTATTTTCGTTCCTATTTTATATAATTGAAACTGAACCATAGTAAACCTTAATAGTTTTCCTTGTGATACAGCTTCTGGCAAAAAGGGTGTTTCAGCTGCAAGTGCCAAGGCTAAGGATACAAAAGGTCCAGCTTTGGATTATATTGACACACCTCCTTCTCAGATAAGAAAGGTAACACCTGGAAAATCCATTTTTAGTAAAGCTGGATTATATAGTTTCCAAAAGTTTGATTTCTTTTTAATTTTGGGGATTGAGTGATTTGTAATTAATTTCGGTTGGTCCAAATGAGAACAACCTCAGAGATGCTAGCTGATGTTTGTTAAACAATGAAATTTCTCATTCTTTTATATTTTTTTTCTTTCGGATTAAGTCGTTTTGTTGGTTTACCTTGTATTAAAGCCTGGGGAATTTCTTGCTTGTTTATTGTGAGTTGGTCGCACCTGTGACTTCTATAATGCACCTCTTTCTCTTGATCAATTTAATGGTCCTTTGTCTACATACAAACTAGTGTCCATCACTTTGTGATTACTCTAAAATTTAATATTTTTGGGATGATTTTGACAGGTTATAGCTTCCCGTTTATCACTCTCAAAGCAGACTATCCCCCATTATTATCTAACAGTAGATACATGTGTTGACAAACTCATGGAGTAAGTGTAGTTGTCTTTGTACATAAAATCTAAGCTGCATTTGGCATTAGTGATGATACAATCTGTTTTTCTATTTCCTGCAGGCTAAGGAGCCAACTCAATTCAATACAAGAAGCTTCTGGGGGCAAGCGCGTATCTGTAAATGATCTTGTTATTAAGGTACCAACTCCCTTGCGTATAATTTGACCTTTTTGATTCTCTAAGTGGACTACATATTGCTAGTTATCACCTCCTAGTTCATTTGGACAGTGGTTAGGAGCAAAATGTTGAGGACATGGTACTGATCCCTTTAGGTACTCACAATTACATCTTAGAGGCTCTACTTATGATTTGATGGGAGAACGGTAACGAAAATATGTCTTGTGTGTGTATGACCTGCCATTAATTTTCTTCCTTGTTCCTGTTCCTGCAAATTAAAGATGTTGCATATTTTTGTAACTGTACTTCCTGGGATGTCTTACATGGCCAAATGTCTTTAAAATTTTGCTTATGCTATCAGATTTTGGAGAGTCACCCCCTTTTAACATACACGTGCTATTGTACTATGGAATTGAAACTTGAATTTAATTATGTAGAAAGCAAAGTTGCAATTTTTCCCCAATTTGACGTGCGTACAAACACCGTAAACGCAAGATTTTCTTTGTTTTTTTTTTTTTGGCTTGGCTACATCTAGGATTTCTGAACATTGCAGGCTGCAGCCTTGGCTCTTCAAAAAGTTCCTCAGTGCAATAGTTCATGGACAGATGACAACATCCGCCAGTGAGTGTATCATTGGTGTAGGTTCGCGATTGCATTTGATGTCCCAATTCTTACTCCAATTCTCTTTTTCAGGTATAAAAATGTGAATATCAATGTAGCAGTCCAGACAGATCATGGGCTCTTTGTCCCGGTCGTCAAGGTGAATTTCAATTCTGCTTTCCCAATGTACAATTCCTTTATTTCAACTAACGTATTTGCTTACAACTATTGGTAACTTTCACGATGCTAACAAGAAAGGGTTTATCTAAAATTGCTGAAGAGGTCAGCACTTGGCACAAAAAGCAAGGAAAATAGCTTAAAGCCAGAAGAGTTCGAGGTTGGACCTTTGTTGTATTATTTCCTTGGGCATAGTTCATAATAAAGTCATGTCATGGGATTAAGAATACTCAGCATTGCGTTTTCAGGGCGGCACATTTTACAGTGTCCAATTTGGGAGGTCCCTTCGGTATCAAGCAATTCTGTGCTGTTATTAATCCTCCTCAGGCAGCAATTCTTGCAGTTGGAACCGGTAAGATGAGCATGAATCATTGCCAATCTTATAAAGTGTTTGGATCAGTTTGAAATATAGAAGCTTACGAGTTATGGAGTTTATAAGTTCTTCAACAATGGTATCAGTTTATAGGCTACTATAATGTTTGGGTAATAAGAGCTATTAAGATTTATTAGCTTCTCAACGTATTTGGTAAAGAGAGTTTTTTATTTGCTAGTTTTGTCCAATGAAGAGAATTATGATAGATTATATAGGAATAAAATTTTTAAAGGTCTTAAACAATATCTTAGTCTTTTACTTTATTGGTACCAGTTTCTTCTTGAGAGCTTCTGAACTATGTAATAAAAGTTACACCCTCATAACTTTCTTAAAATTACTGTTATAAGAGCTTTATATGTTATCAAACTTGTAGTTTTTTGTTATTTACCAAACAAGTATTGAAATATAAAATGTTGTGAGAGCGCGAACCCAGATCAATAAAAAAATAAGTTAAGCCAAACACCATACTTTCTCGTGCTTCACGTTATAATTATCCATGTTTGTGCTATTTTGAACAGCTGAGAAGCGGGTCGTTCCTGGTACGGGTCCCGAACAGTTCAAATTTGCATCATTCATGTCTGTGACATTAAGCTGCGATCATCGTGTAATAGACGGTAGGTTGTTTTAAAATGGCATGTCATTTTGATATATGCTCATGTATGGTGTAACCCTACATCAATTTGCTTGGTTTCATCTTTACAGGTGCAGTTGGTGCAGAATGGCTGAAAGCATTTAAAGGATACATTGAAAATCCAGAGTCAATGTTGCTCTAAACTACTAATTGGTGGTAAATGAGCCATACTCCTAGTTATTACATTTCGCTTTTTGGTTCTCCTGTTTTCACGAGAAACACCAAACTCATTCACAATCCAACTGTTTCATCCGGCTGGTTGTTTTACTCTCAAGACTGTACTGCTTGCTTTCTTCCGCCATAATAGTGTAAAGCAAAGTTCAAAATCTTTGAATAAAAGAGAGGAGTGTTAGAAACTAAACTGCTAGATTGTATACCGGGATTTTGCTCCGGAAGAGTGTAATGACACCCTTGAAGCAGAGATCACGCTGCCCTGATTTCCCGATGTTGTATACCAATTACACATAATTTATGGTTTCTAGATATTGCACCTCACTCAGTAAAAATCAGTTAGCCAAAGGGGGCGAAGTTGAGGTCGTGTTCTTGAATATAGATTATATAGCTTTCCTGTTATGAGTTACATTATCTGAGATTATCTTATCAACCATGTGTTTCGCCCTACAGGAGTGATTTATCACTGCATAATTTTAGCTTTGACAGTGAATATTCTGGGACCAATTTTTACATGTCTAGACTGAATCTATATACACCTTACAAAGTGCTATGCTGTACTTCTTGAATTTGGTAGGTAAATTTTGTACTTCCGCAGTATATAACACTCTGTAATAAAAAACAGGAGCAGTAAATACCTCTTGCCTTCATTTGGGTTTGCCTTTCCTGCCTTATTTTAAAGTTTTGTTTAGTTTAAATATATTATATTTTCCATAAATGTTAGATATTAATTATTTAGTATATAAAATTTAATCATTATATTTGATAACACTTAAACAAATTTCATTTATTTTATTAAATCTCATAATACATGACAGAATTTAAAAGTAAAATTAAAATTAAAATATTAATTTTATTCAAATCAATTAGTATGTTTCTATATTTGTATTTTAATTCATACTTTATAAAATTAAAAACTATAGCTTCATAATAATTGAAGCCATCCCCTTCAACTTTTTCTTTTGTCTTATATCTAATAATAATATTAAAATCACTATAATAAAATAATAACTTTATCTCTATCCTAATTTATATTATAAAAATTACAAATTGAATTATATCTAACTTTAAAAAAAAATTTGTGTAATCTAATAAATAAAATAATGATAATAAAACAAAGTCAATTTTGATTGTATGTATTTTATATATATATATATATATATATAGATTTCTTTGAGTAATTTTTTATTAAAATTAAATCGTGTGGTATTAAAATTACACTCTTAATCAATACGGCACCGGATCACCATCATCAACACAAATCATTACATTTGTTTTATGATTATAATTGAAAATTTTCTTCACCGTCACGGTTAGTCGATGACTTTGAATCTTCGTGTGTTAAGATTTGACGGCTCAAGATAATTAGATAATTTTTATTTTTCTTAAAATGGTTTTTTTTATATTAATTAATTACAATTATTACCATAATTAGTTATTTTAATTTTTAATTATTTACTCCTAATAGGAATCAAGTCACCATCACCGCTTATTTCTTTATTCTCCACTGTAGTATCTTCTGTAGAATCTTTTAATCTAAAGCTTGTAATCCACTCTGGTCTACTTTAACACGCTAACTATTTTCCCCCTTCTTATCTCTTTCTGACTGAAATTTAGGTCCTTCCTCCTTGAATTCTAGTCCCAGTAGGTAAAGGCAGAGAAGTTTTCCTGGTCTCGATTCTCTCGTTTCTTTTTCCTCTGTGATCGTTGTTTCGGTTACGTTTGATCTTCTCTTTTTCAGTGTCTGTCTGTTGAGTGGGGAGGTAGGTGAGTTTGTTTAAAGCTTGTAATTGGTCATCAATGGCGGAATTGGCGGGTCCGCGACTGTACAGCTGCTGCAATTGTCGAAACCATGTTTCGTTTCACGATGATATAATCTCCAAAGCCTTTCAGGTTCGTCACTAAAATCTCGAGGCTGCTGATTTTAATTTTGAATTCCGTTTGGTTTCTCTTGTGATCAATTTTTTGCTGCTTTGAACTTGATCTGGAATCTCCGCGTATATGATCATTTAGGTTAAAACCGATTTGGGAATAAGAAAAGCCCCTAATGGATTTTGATGAAAACCCATTATTTTTCTCTACCTACTTTATTTAATATAATATGATTATCTTGTCGGTTTTTTGAACTGATCTCATCACTGGACTACGTGTATGTGCTTGTTTGTCTGTGTATACCGCCTATATCTGGAATTCAGGTTCTGATATATCTTTGTATTTTTGGATGCATGGTAAGCTTGGAACTATGTTTTTTCCCCTCAATTTTTGGTTACTCGAGGGAAATTTCTCGGGGGAAATTTTCTCCAATCCCGCGGGTAATTTCACTTTTCTCTTATTTTTCTCATTAACCAAAATTTTTTCTCTCTACCCGCGGGGAGCATTTTTTCTCCCGCCGGATAAATTTTTTCTCCTTCGCTGTTTTTTTTGGTTCTTTTGTATTAATTTAATTTCCCTTTTAGGTAAAAATTTAAAAGTTCTCAAAAATACACAAATTAATCAAAGCGGAATATTACATCATTTTCTCTTAAGAAATTTGGTCCCCAAATTTGTACTTAGCGGTAAATAGCTGTGGATACTTTGCTCGCATATCCTCTTCGTGTTCCCATGTGGCTTCTTCCTTTGAGTGATGCTGCCAGAGTTACTGTGTGAGACTTGAGTTTATGATCTTATCCGATAAATTGACCTAATCCCAGAAATTTAATTTGATATGTTGTTTTAATTTTGATTTTATAAAAGGGATTTAGGCAGGCCTCTTCCAACCTTCTTTTATTTTTTTCTGTTCTTCTTTTCATAACTTTTGTTAGGGAAGACATGGCCGTGCCTTTCTGTTCTCCCACGCAATGAATATTGTTGTAGGGCCTAAAGAAGACAGGCATCTGCTGACTGGTCTCCACACTGTCGCGGACGTCTACTGCGGCGACTGCAGGGAGGTGTTGGGTTGGAAGTATGAGCGAGCTTATGAAGCATCCCAGAAGTACAAGGAAGGGAAGTTTATACTTGAGAAAGCAAAGATTGTTAGGGAGAATTGGTAGTATATCTATCTACCTATCCTTATATATATATGTAAATGTATACCCATATATCCTATCTGGGTCCTCCATTCAATATTTTTATTCCTCTGTTTGTCGCAAGTGTATTTGATGCTCCCTCATGTTCTTTGTACAGAAACTTGCTCTTACCCATTTCATGGTGTTCAATTGTTTATCCATGGCCGATTCTTCCTGTCTTGCCTTTGACCTATTTATGCTTTGTTGATGGATTAATTTATTCCGTGTGAATGAAAAAAAAATTGTCTGGTACTCAAGATTATCCATTGTTACAATGCTTATGGGTTTGGATTCTTGATTTTCGAAAATGGTTATTGAAGTAGTTCTTGCAAGATGAGGCAGCTCTAGTGTTTGTGTTCGGTAATCTAATTTCTCGTGTTCGAGAAGCAAATACAGGAGAAGAGCAATCTATATTTTAAATTAGGTATTATACGAATTCGTAAATATGATTGATATATTTTAAATTTTTATATTTCTAATCTTTTGACAAAGAGTTGAGATGATCAAATTATATTTTAAATATTTATTTGTGAAATAAATAAATTAAATATTTAAATTAAATTATAAATAATTTAAATTTAGTAGAAATTAAATTTTTAATTATGTGTATTCAAATGATTTAGATAATATTAAATATTATTTATTTTGACTTTAGACCCACCACTTAATTTATAAAAATTATTTTTGTTCAATATAGTTGCATATTTTATATTTTCAAATCTGATTCTAATTTTTTTTTTGGGTTAATTTAATTTGAAAAAAAATTTAAAAGATTTGAGTTAGATTAGTTTGATGATGCGAGTCATCAATTGAAAGGCCAAAACGACATGTGATTTCGCGTTTTGACTGTATAAATAAATAACAAGAAGAAAACGACAGCCATTTCATTTTTTAGGAGAGAACAAGACGGTAACGAAGGGAGAGAGAGACGAGGGAGGCGGAGAGATGTACTTGAAGAAGGCGTTGTGGAGCGAGGGAGTGACGAAGCAGAGCAACCAGACGGCTGCAGAACAGAAGAAGACGGAGTCGGAAGCCGATGACTCTGCGGCGGCTGCTGCGACCGCTGTGGAAGAGCTGGTGAACTCGCTGACCAAGCAGAGGGTTTACAGAGAGCTCACACTCTCTCTACGCACCGGTCTCCGAGACGCACGAGCCGAATTCTCCTTCCTCCGAGTTCGCGGCCTTCGTTCTCTTCTCAAATCTCTCAGATCCATTGCCCAATCCGATTCCACCATTCATCTTTTCTGCCACACCCAATCCATACCCGAACTCCAAGGTTCGAATCAGATCCTAATTATTGTTCTTGTTTCTTTCTCTTAGGTTTTTTTTTCTCCGTATTAATGAAATCTAGTGCAGTGGTTCCTGTTCTGTTTCAACATTCACTGAAGGAGACGGAAGATGACAGGGTAATAAGCTTAGATCATATATTCAGTGTGGAACCAATGAAGATTACCAGTCCTTCCACAGATGCGGAGGTTGCACTGGCTCTTCGAGTTTTAGAAGGTTGTTGTCTTCTTCATTCAGAGAGCACTGCTTTGGCCCATCAGTACAAAGCAATTGAGGTGCCTATTTAATGCTCACAGGCTTTTTGTTTGTTTATTGTTTTGGGATCGGTTGGTTAAATCTTTAGAATGAAAAGTGGCATTACTGTTGGATTGATTGCTTAGAGAAGTGAGAGTTATTTATTGATGAGTGTCGGAAGGGCAGCGTCTTCTGTGACAAGTGTTTATGATTCATCTTAATGAGAAAGCTTTATCCAGATAATGATTATCATACGTTCTTGCCCATGAGAATTCCTGCTTTCTTTTTCTGTTCTAAATCCATTTTAGAAGACTCTAGTGTACTGATGGAAGGGCCTCGATCTATCTCCTGGCATGTTTTTTATCCAATGACGAATAAAGTTCAATAAAGGAAGTTTAGTTCAGTGATGTCCTGGAAAATGAGGATTAAGAATGGAAAATGATTACTAATGTTGATTGTTTTGGATGCAACAATAAACAATACGAACTTGTGATTATGATGGATTGTTTCTTTCATAATTGATTATTGAAATCCCAGTTGGCAGTTTGGCATGTGGCTTCCGGAAGTAATTTTTC